GGAACAAGGGGGGGTTTAACGAGTAAACTACGGAATTGCCCCTCCGTTTTTTTTTAAATAATAAAACGAACGAGCCAGAAACCCGCACGAATTCCTCAACGAATGCAGTGAACGACGACTGAACGTGGCCCCTTTCTTTTGTGTTTTTGTAACAGAAACGATGCACCAACTTTCGAAACCAAAGGGACAAATTAAAAAGGGCGGGAAAGACATGCAAGATTACACGTGTCTTTCGTCATCTATACCTGGGTCGCTTGGCCACCACATGTCGCCGGTCGCCGGCACCGACTCAGATTTTACCGTACGCAGAATTTTTTTTTTTAAAAAAAAGAAGTTTACCACGTAACGAGTGATATAATATCAAACACATATTTTTTTTTTAGTTTCAGGTTATTATAATACCATGTACATGAAAAAAGAGGCGACAGGTACAAGAATTGTCGGCGGGGCAACCACGTACCGATAATACCTAATGCGACGAATACGAGATTTCACATGACATTATTAAATCAGGTGGGGATTGGTCGGACCATGGTGTCCGGTTTGGTAGCGAACCGATTGGGATTGAATTCAGAAGCCGTGTCAAAGGAGAAATTTTCAACAGGTTGTGGGGACTGGGGAGTGCGAGGAGATCAGTCTTACGAAGTGGACTGCAACTTGGTGGTTGCCACGTGTGCTGTTCATATAAATTAGAGATGCCAAGGTCCAGTAGCATGAAAAATTCCCAATTCCCCTTTTGGAGCTTCGACTCTTACATAAAGTTCTTGTCTGATGCTCCGGCGGATGTTTTCCGGTGGTCGGAGTTAGCCTCCGGCGTGTCTTCTTCGCTCGGCGGAACAAGTTGCCAGAACATTGCAAGGTACTTGTCCCACTCCTTCAGAATCGTCTCGCCTTTGCCGCTTCCCGTTCTCTCCTTTTTGGATTCAATGAAAAAGGGAAGGGATAATATGGTTATGAGACGATTTATTTGACACCCAACTGTAGATTAACCCCTAGTCCTCTAATGTTTCCATCAGGATTTAGGGTTTAGGGTTTGGATTGTCTTGTAACTTGTGATATGCACGAGTACATGATTTCATAAATGTGGTAAACGAAGAGGGAAAGGGGGCTTACAACGTGAGCTTCGATGAAGCTCTTAAGCTGGGCCTGTCCCACTGGTGACGTTACTCTTTGGATCTTCACTATCTCCTTGTTTACCTGTCCACACACGAAATTGTTAAAAGCTAAATTTGTGATGAAACAATCATCAGCAGAACCAAGAAAACCGACTGCATCCTTCAATATTTGTCACTTTTGGAATGAGAGAAGCTCGATCGATGGATACCTTAGGGAGGAGAGTGTCGTCCTCATCGAGAATGTATGCCAACCCTCCTGTCATCCCGGCTGCTACATTTCTACCCACTCTGCAATTTTTCGAGAGATGGTGGTGTTATTTGGTTTAAGCCTCCGACTTCTAGCTTTTAATGTGGGGCAGAGCAGACGGCAGGTGGATATCAGTTATTGAAACGCAAAGGAAGAGTTTTTACTTACTTTCCGAGCACGACGACACAGCCACCGGTCATATATTCGCAACAGTGATCTCCGGTGCCTTCGACTATCGCCTGAGCGAGAGAGTTCCTCACAGCAAATCGCTCTCCTGCTTTCCCTCTTACAAATACTCGACCACCCGTTGCGCCATACAGACATGTGTTCCCTAAGATAGTCGCGTCTTCGGGGCGAAATCCACGCGAGGTAAGGTAAAAAGCATTCTTCAAGAGGAGACCGTCGACTTAAACAGAATATGAATCTTGATAAGATTCAAAAACACAGGGATCTAACCTTCCCCACATAATCGTTGGCTTCACCCACAAGGAGTATATTCATTCCAGGAGTTAGAAAGCATGCAAAAGACTGGCCGGCGCTTCCAGTGAACCTGTGGGCACAAGTTCATCTCTGTAAGTTACAAGCATGTATCCTCGAATGTATTTCTTTCAAAAAATATTTGTAGTAAGTGGCCTTACGTAAGGTTCAGTTGTCCAGAAAAACCAGCGTCTCCATATTTCTTCGCAATCACACCTGCAACACGACCGCAAACAGCACGGTCCACGTTGTATATTTTCACGGTCTTTTGAACCGCTTTTCCATTCTCAATTGCACCAATGATCTGTAAAACATCCAGAAGTAAATAACACTTAGCATGTAATGGTACATGCTCTAACGCTATAACATAGAAGAAAAAAATAAGACCTTCTTTCCCTCCCCATTTTTAAAAGTCTAGTTTTTTTTTTTCCCGAGATAACAGCATGTTGCAAATCGTTGTGCCTTTGTTTATCAAATCAGGTATTTTTTGTTCATAGTTAAGGCCGCTCTTAGGCTTGGGAACAAGAAGCTAAAAAATGCAAAGATCAATTAAAATACAATGCATCTTTGGATGATAGGCTATTTGCTACACTAAATAGCCATTCCAGAAGGAGATAAATTATAATCTCTGTTACCTCAGGATCCTGAAGTAGAGTATCATCAAGAAGGACCATTTGAGTGAACATCCTGAATCCTAATGGCAGTACTGTTCCGTTTTGGAAGTCCCAGAAACTGGAAAGAAAACAGGAAACGAGTTATATACCGACAAGATGTGGTAAAGGCGTGACCACCATGAGAGTAGAAACATGGTTTTCTAGGGCTTACTGATAGGAGATAGCTCAGGTCAAGATGCGTTTTCACCAGTGAAATATCACGTGGCTTTAGCAAATCTGTCCGGCCAATTATGTCATCCAGTTTCTCATATCCCAACTGAGCTAACACTCCCCTCACCTACGAAGATAATAGAAAGTATAATAGGGAGTATCAAGTGTCGGGAAAGTCTGCAAATTTTTTAAACAAAAAGACATTGTTGAAGATTACCTCTTCTGCAATATATAAGAAGAAATTGACAAGATCACCAGGCACACCGGGAAAACGAGCACGCAGTTCTTCTCTCTGTAACAAAAGTTAGGGGAACCTTAGCAAGATCCGGTTATGCAATGGAAAAAGAAACTACAGCCCAAAAAAAAAAGTCCAAATCACCTGACTCGCAACACCAACTGGGCAATTATTAGTGTGGCAAATGCGAGCCATGATACATCCAGTGGCAATCATAGCTAGAGTACCAAACCCGTACTCATCAGCACCCATAGATGCAGCAATCAGAACATCAACACCACTCTTGAAGCCATCATCAACTCTGAGAAGGACTCTTTACATAAGTCCATTTTTCATGAGAGTCTGGGAAAGATCAAATTTTATTATTAGAGATAAACAAAAACACAAAGGAAACTAATAAAAACTTGGAGACAAACTAAAATCCCACAGCACAAGACGATGTTGTACCTGGTGGGTTTCGGTTAGCCCGAGTTCCCACGGTCCACCTGCATGCTTTATGGAACTTATAGGGCTAGCTCCAGTTCCGCCATCATAGCCTGATATCTGGAAAAAAAAAAAAGAAGAATCGTCAATTTCAAAAATATCATACTCAATGTTTAGGTATCTAACAGATAAAATAGCGAGTATGATTAGGCCCTCGCATAAAGATAGAGAGGCATATCTCAAAGGTATTAAATAGGTTGTGATAAGAATAAGATTAGACGCAGTGAATCTCACAGCATGGGAGAGCTAAACAACTTTTCCTATTCTGACAAGAAGGATTTTGGTACCTTTCGAACCACCAGGTTCAAGACAGTTCATTTTTATAAACAAAAATCGCAGAATTGCAGCTGATTCAAAACATTTAGTAGTTTTATTTGCATATTGTGGATTTCTCGCATAATGGAGCTCTAAACAAGAAGTGCATGCCTGTATGATATCAGCATTAGCCTTTGCAACTCCAGAAGCAACTGTTCCTATTCCAGCTTCTGATACAAGCTTCACTGACACCTTTGCCTTGGGGTTAACCTGTTCATCTTTTCTAACTGAGAGAGCTTCATTATCAGAAAACTAGCAGAAACTTACAAGGTAAATAAGATGCCTACCTGATGGAGATCAAAGATCAACTGTGCAAGATCCTCTATGGAATAAATGTCATGATGAGGAAGTGGAGATATAAGCGGAACACCTGGTTTAGAATTTCGAAGTTGAGCAATGTATGCACTAACTTTTTTTCCAGGCAGTTGGCCGCCTTCACCAGGCTTTGCTCCTTGAGCAATTTTGATCTAGGAGTGACACCGAAACGTCCTGAAGCGACCTATGAAAATTCAAAAGGTAGTGGGTTCTTGAATATCCTTACAAGAGTACATATAACAAGAAAGCAAAAGATCGCAAAATAATTTCCTGCTAGTCACTAGATTGTAAACATCAATAACTACTTTATATTACAATAAGAAATTAAAAGTAGATAGAGGAGCTGGCGCTTAACTCAAAGACTCAAACCTGATTATGATCATATCAATGCTGTTACCTGTTTAATAGCACTTGTGGCAGTATCCCCATTTTGAAGACCCTTAAGATGTGGCAGCGTTGGAGAGTACCCATCAACAACATCTGTAAGTGGCTTCCAACGGATGGGATCCTGGAAAAAGGAAAACGAATTTTTGACTATCAACGTGACACTTCTGCCATTTTGCACTTAAACTAAGTTCCTTTTAAAAGAATAAAGTTTGAAATAGGTGACGATGAAGATGAATGACCTCGCCTCCTTCCCCTGAATTGGACTTTCCACCTAATCTGTTCATTGCAATAGCTATTGTTTCATGAGTTTCTCTCGAGATAGCTCCAAGTGACATTCCACCTGTACAAAACTGTTCAACAATGGAGGAAGCAGGCTCAACCTTCCCAACAGGAATAGGACTACGGTCACTTTTGAACTCAAGGAGATCACGGAGAACCTACAGCCCAAGAATATTAAAGAAAAACGTTTACTCATACTAGAAAGTATTAGCGGACAAGAAGACCAAGCTGATGGCGGACACAATCACGATCAAATCGACGAACAACATGGACAAAGACACACAAGGAAAGAAGACAGTTTCGGATTTACACAAAAGGAATGATGGACACAAACTTGAAGACAAGGAAAGAAGATAATTACGATTGCCATTCTTTGTATTAGGCAATATTAAATTGTCATATTAGTATTATATGACTGTTGTATTCTTTAGGTTAACAAAAGGACATGTACAGCACATACACGATCAAGTAAGAGAATTTACTTTCTTCAAAAGTCTTATTCGTCTTTCTTTTCTTCATGATATCAGAGGGTATCGATCATTAAAAAAAAACAAACATCTGTTCATTTTTTTTTTGCTTTCGACAATCTATCCAGTTATGGAACCAACAACCAAACTCATCCCCATCACCTTCCATGGTGACAACTATTTCTATTGGACCAAAGCCGCCACTGCGGCTCTCAACAGCAAGGGGTTATGGGACCATATATCGGCTGAAAAAAAGTCTCCTCCTCCACAAGAAGTGGCCGCCGGCGGAGAGACTCCCGATCAGGCACAACAACGCCTAGAAAGAAATCGTCAAGCTGCGTCGGATTTCGCCAAATGGAGACAAGAGAACAGTCAAGCTCTGGTGATCTTGCAAGGCTCACTGGATCCTCATATTCTCCAGTCGTTCATATCGCACGACATAGGAAAATCTCTATGGGAGGCCCTACAAAGAGTCTACGGTAACCTCTCTAATGTTAGTCGAATTTTTGAATTAAAAAGAAAGTTTTTCATCTCCAGCAGAATGACCAACCAATAAGCACGATTCAAGGAGAGTTTTGTGCTTTGTGGGCTGAACTCGAAGAGGTGAGACCACCTTCAACCGATCCAAAAACGTTCATGCAACGGGCTGAGGAAGACAAAGTCCTCCTCTCTCTCAACACTCAATGCCACGTATAATGACCTCATCTATCATGTCCTTCGCCAACCCACACTTCCGACATTTGAAGATATATGCATGTTGATTCAACGTGAAGAAGGTGGCCCTAATGTGTTTACGGGATCTCATGAACTCGCTCATCTCGTTCAAAGACAATCCGCACCTGTTGCTGTGAGTCAACAGAACCGAGCACGCAAGAGTTATTTTTGTGATCACTGTAACAAAGCGGGACACTCAAAAGAAAGGTATTGGGTCCTCAATCCTCATTTAAAGCCGCCTTGGTTCCAACATGCTCCTCGAAAGGTTCGGCTATGACGGCTTCCCATAACGCCGAAAGTTCGATCAACCTTACCTCCGATGAGCTTCAAGGGCTCAAACATCTTCTCCAGTCGATTAATAAGGACCAAGGTAACTATTCTCGTAATTCTTCCATTATTTTGGATTCCGGTGCAACGACGCACATGTTTTGTGATGATAATTTATTTGTTACTATCACTCCTAGTCATGGTGTGACAAAGACATCATGACTAGTTATTGGTAAAATTAAAGTTTTTGACAAAGACATCATGGCTTTATACGTTCCTGACTTTCATGCAAACTTATTGTCCATTTCAAAACTTGTTGAACAAATTCCATGTCGTGTTGTTTTCGATGCTAACGGTGTTTTATTTCAGGATATTAGCTCCGAACTTATCTTTGGAAAAGGCTCGCGGTCGGGCAACCTCTATTATCTAGAAGACTCGCATTTTAGTTTTCTTTCTATATCTCCGAGTGTGTGGCATGCTCGATTAGGTCATCCACACGCAAAGGTGTTTCGTTTACTTGTTCCCGAAGTTAAGCCTTTTGATACTCATTGTAAGGCTTGTACGCTAGGGAAACATTGTCGTTCGGTTTTTATGGATTCACGTACTATTTATAATAATGCATTTGATCTTGTTCACTCCGACGTTTGGACCGCTCCATGCTATTCTCGTGATAATTTCAAGTATTTTGTGACTTTTATTGACGAGAAGTCGAAATACACTTGGATTACACCTCTAAAGAAAAAGAGTGATGTGTTTTATGCCACGAAAATTTTTTTTGCCTATGTTTCTACTCAATTCAATGTTAAAGTGAAATGTTTAAGAACAGATGGCAGAGGCGAATACATGAGCTTTCAATTCCGGGATTATCTTCTCTATGAGGGCATTCTACACCAACGCTCTTGCCCGCATACACCGCAACAAAACGGAGTTGCCGAGCGGAAAAATCGACATTTGATGGAAGTAGCACGAACCCTCCTATTTCATCGCAACGTCCCGAAAAAGTTTTGGTGTGACGTCGTTAAGATAGCGTGCTATCTTATTAATCGACTACCCACACAAATCCTTAGCGACAAATCTCCGTTCGAGTTACTCTTTAATCGTTGTGCTTCTTTTGATCATTTACGTATATTTGGATGTGTTTGCTTCGCTCACATTAATGCAGGTCTTCGAAACAAACTCGATCCCAAAAACATACGATGTGTGTTCCTCGGTTATCCGGCGAATCAAAAAGGTTATCTCTGTTTTCACCCACCCATTAACCGTGTCTATACATCGAGACATGTTAAATTTGTAGAGGACATCAGCTATTTTGACCAACAAGATTGGTCTGCTTTAGAGAAACTTGCAACCCAAGGAAGTGATGACAACACCTCCCTCTCTCGACTTCTCAGCACTTTCCAACAGCTCGGGGTTCACGTTCCTTCAACAGATTTGCATACATAATTGCATGCTGATGGTATTCCGCCACTTGTACCTGTTGCTCTTGATATTTCTATCGATAATAACATGACAGGTCATGAAGATGCGAATCTGGGTGCACCCACTGAGGGGGAAAACTCTTCGTCAACTCATCCCATATTCTTAGATGCTCAAAGCAACCCGCCAGGTGTCACGATCGAGACGGACATGCAGATTCCAAATCATGGCGGACATAACCAGATGTTATCACATGATTCATCCAATTCTCAGACGCTTCCTGATGTCACCTCCACTACGACACAACTCCGACGTAGTCAAAGAAACCGACGTCCCACTTGGAAGTTGGCCGAACAACAATAGAACGTTGGCCAACTCGCAGTCGCACATCCCATAGCCAAGTACTCATCTCTTTCCTCTTTTCCTATTGTTGAGCAAAGTTTTTTGAGTATTATTGCCCAGGGAGTTGAACCGACATCCTATACTCAAGCCAAAGATAGTGACGTGTGGCGCAAGGCAATGGCAGACGAACTTTCGGCTCTTGAAAAAAATAGTACTTGGGATATCACTGATTTACCTCTGGGAAAGCAAGCTGTAGGTTGTAAATAGGTCTACAAAATCAAATATATGAGTGACGTCACTATTGAACGATATAAGGCTCGTCTTGTTGCGAAAGGGTACACTCAGACATACGGCGAAGATTACAATGAAACTTTTGCTCCAGTTGCAAAAATTCCTACGGTACGCGTTATTATTTCTTTAGCTGTGAATCAAGATTGGCAGCTAATTGGATGTCAAAAACGCTTTCCTCCACGGAGAGCTCGACGAAGAAATATTCATGAAACCACCACCGGGTTACACCGGTTTTATTCGTACCGGTCAGGTATGTCGACTAAAAAAGGCGATTTACGGGCTTAAACAATCGCCACGTGCTTGGTATCATCACCTATACCAAGCTCTCCTCGACAAAGGCTTCACAAGAAGTGATTCTGATCACTCTCTTTTCACTCTTACACGCCCCGCGGGTATGGTTGTCCTATTGGTATATGTTGACGACATCATTCTCTCCGGAAATGATGTTGAAGGTATTCAAGATACTAAGCTATACTTAAGCAATGTGTTTGACATTAAAGATCTAGGTTTGCTTAAATACTTTCTTGGCATTGAAGTAACTCGCACTACTAACGGTTTGTTTTTGTCCCAAATGAAATATATCTTAGACATGTTAACCGAGACAGGTAAACTTGGAGCGAAACCAGTCCGCACACCAATAGAAGAACACTTCAAGGATCACTCCGAGGGTGAACCATTCGATGATCCGGAACGATACCGATGTATCGTAGGTAAGTTAATCTATCTTACGATTACACGTCCTGACATCAGTTTTATGGTGCATCAGGTTAGTCAGTGGATGCACTCCCCAAAAATGAATCACTGGCAAATGGTGGATCGCATCTTGAAGTATCTAAAAGGAACACCAAATAAGGGCATCCGGATGGACAACAACCGACATACTGAGCTTGTCGCTTATTACGATGCAGATTGGGCCGGAGATCGGACGGATCGCAAATCAACCATGGGATATTGCACATTTGTTGGAGGGAACTTGGTCACATGGCAGAGCAAGAAACAATTCATGACCTCTGTGTGGCGACCTCAACACCTACACTCCTACATTGCGATAACCAAGCCGCAATCCATATCGCGAACAACTCGGTCTTCCACGAGAGGACAAAACACATTGAAGTGGATTGTCACTTTATCCGTGAGAAGATCGCGCATGGGTTGATCTCCCCGACCTTTACTCGGAGTCATGATCAACTAGCCGACATACTAACCAAAGCAACAAGCTCCTTTGCTCTTCACAATTGCCTTGTCAAGATTGGCCTCGTTGATCTTGACCGGCCAATCTTGAGGGGGAATATTAGCGGACAAGAAGACCAAGCTGATGGCGGACACAATCACGATCAAATCGACGAACAACATGGACAAAGACACACAAGGAAAGAAGACAGTTTCAGATTTACACAAAAGGAATGATGGACACAAACTTGAAGACAAGGAAAGAAGATAATTACGATTGCCATTCTTTGTATTAGGCAATATTAAATTGCCATATTAGTATTATATGACTGTTGTATTCTTTAGGTTAAAAGGACATGTACATCACATACACGATCAAGTAAGAGAATTTACTTTCTTCAAAAGTCTTCTTCGTCTTTCTTTTCTTCAGAAAGCACACGGTCGGATATAAAACCAAAGGTATAGTGCCTCACTGTAACAGGACGATTAGCTAGATGCTGCTGATACACTGCATAAGCTGTTTCATTCTTTTCACGGACAGCTTTATGAAGTAATTTAGACATCTCTGGATTGTTCCCATGATATTCCCCTTTCAAACCACAAAAACGAGAAGTAACGGATATGATTAGAAAGCTTCAACCAACCTTCTGAAAACACATTCAGTTTGGATGCTGTAAAAGGATTTTAAAATCCGTTAAGGTCAGCCTGAACTTGTATTTAAAATATACTTCAAGCTTATTTATCTATCTAAACATCATCGTGCATTTAAAAGACGCAAGTAAATCCATGCTTGTCTTTGCAGTTGGGAGAAGCGTGGTTTTGTGCATCGGCATGCAAGCTCATCATCCAGCATAAATGAAGTCGATTAAAGTACCTCCAGGCCTAAATTGTATAAACCCAAAATTTTCCAGACGTTTCGCTGTATCCTCAGCAAATGCCCTCACCCAGAATGATACTGTCTCCCTAGCGAGCTGGAAGATATAGGGATATTTATAGATCAGAGGAACTGACTTGTGTCTACGGGTGTCGGGATCGTATTCGCGTGTATGGGTATATGCTAAGCATGCGAGAATAACGATTATGGCTTGTATTCGGGAATCATCAAGCAACAAAGATAGAGAATTCACCTCTCGGTCTACTAACTCACTACCTACAGAGTAACTCGTCAATCTCTCGATCTATTCAAGTTAACCCTAGACGCATGAAAAACGCTATCATCAACCCTAGATCGATTAAACCATATCTCTATGTGAATAATACGTTCTATCCTATTGATTTTGATCTGAAACCAAACCCATATCTCTATGTAGTTTAGAATCTAAGATAATTGACCAAGGGATTAGCAAACATCAATCCAATAAAAGCGCAAATCAATAGAACCGAAACAAATTAAAACCGAAATCCAAGTTAGGGTTCAAACATACCCAAAACACATACGAATCTCTAACCCATAGTCGTGGATCTACTCACGGTTCATGGAAAACA